GGACTTCCCGAAATTCACAAACCGGGAAGTCTGATTCGTCCCGTACTATCGATGACAAACTCCCCTTACCACAGGATTGTACGCTGACTATCCGAACCACTGGAACCAGTTGCTTAACATATGGCTATACACAGTCTGAGAGATACATTTGACTTCATACGTCGGAAAATGAATGTTAATCTAAAGAACAGTATTTTCACTAGACGTCGAGTCTTTGTTCACAATCGTACCACCAGTAGAAACCATCGACTTATTGGTGAGTTACATAGAATAAAATAACCTTAGTATCGGTTTACCACCGGTTCGCTACACACTGAATTCCCAGTTCCTATTTAATCAAACCTTGTACAGACAATGAGATATTGCAACCGTGGGATCACCACTGGGTTCTTTACTCGTTGATGCCTTTTTCGAAAAACTGGAAGCTTTCTGAAGTCTGCAATCGATAGTTTTGAACATTCTTACTGATAATTGGATGACATTCTGCGTGACTGATACGAGTTGTGACTTACCATTCGTGTTATTGGAATTTAATGAACGGCATAAAGCATCATGTTTCACAATCGGACGCAAAACGAACAATCAATTATCGTTTCCGAATGTCTCTTAGCAAAATAGACGATGGTCGGATCCTACGAAAGGTGTACTGAAAACCGACATATACGGTCCAGTACACCAACTTCAATGGTTTCACTGGCATCCAGCAGAAACTTAACTTGGTGAAATGCCTGGCCAATAGGGTGAGGGCAGTCTGCTCCGATGAGGTATTGAATGGTTAGCTAGTGCACATTAGAAATAACCTACGTGAGAACGAAAAACCGGATCGTTTCATCGAAAAGAATTTCGTCATAGACAAAATACTGGATAATACTAAGTAGTCTCCAAAATGTTGCTATTGAATGGGAAGCTGGAGAGAAGCTTTGCTATCTAGAGTACGCCCACGATGTCGTTCGCCTGTTCCAAGGCATAGAGGATGTACAAAGAGCACTTGACAGATTAGCAATTTATGTCGCTCCGTCCGGCATGCGCTTTGCGCTTTCCAAGTGCAAAGTGATGTTGCAAGAATGGATGTCGCCGAGCTCCGTTCTGAAACTATACGGTCAGGAATTAGCCGAATTTGACTGCATCTCGTTCTTCGGTAGCTGCGTGTCCAACGATGGTAGCACATTAAAGGAGATAACCACGCGCATTTCCAAGGCTGGAGCAGCGTACGCGGGGCTAAAACACCTGTGGCGATGAGGCATCGTTTCACTGGAGTTGAAAAATGGCGTATACTGCGCCACTGCACTATCAGTTCTGCTTTACGGTTGCGAGACATTGAATTTGCTAGTAGAAGATATCTGTCGCTTGGCACCTTTCGATAATGGATGCTTACGCAGTCTGGTCCGAGTGGGATCGAATGACCGGGTTAATTACTTAAAGATAAGTTGCCACGTGTTTTGAAATGTATTAGACAAGAACTCTCTATCTCATCAAATTGAGCTCAATAGGCTCAGTTGGTTTGGA